CTGAAATAAACGTCGGCTTGATTTACCAGTCACAGCGGCATCCGTTTGATGTGTTAAATCATAATTTAATATGGTGCAGTCGTATAGATTTTATTTGTCTCGGGATAGTTTACAATGTTACAATAATGAATGTTTCAATCACTACTTTTAGATTGGTTTCGATATTGAAATAAATCGTGAGATGTTTTTTAAAACTGTAGTTTGTTTCAGGCCCCGTATTGAGGATCAAAAGTGTTGAAATTCTGTTTCAAGTCCAAGATTGTATTATAATGCCATTTTGGTCGGTATTGAAAATGGATCATGTTGTAAGTCTGTTTCAGGTCTAGTATTGAGGATGAATCACGTTGTGATTCTCTTTTAGGACCGGTATTGAGGATGAATTATGTTGTAATTCTGTTTCAGGTCGGTATTGAGGATGGATAATGTTGTAATTCTGTTTAACGTCGGTATTGAGGATGGATAATGTTGTAATTCTGTTTAACGTCGGTATTGAGCATGAATCATGTTGTAATTCTGTTTAACGTCGGTATTGAGGATGAATCATGTTGTAATTCTGTTTAACGTCGGTATTGAGGATGAATCATGTTGTAATTCTGTTTAACGTCGGTATTGAGGATGAATTATGTTGTAATTCTGTTTCAGGTCCGGTATTGAGGATGAATTATGTTGTAATTCTGTTTCAGGTCCGTTGTATTGTTTCAGGTCGGTATTGAGGATGAATGTTGTTATTCTGTTTCAGGTCGGTATTGAGGATGAATTATGTTGTAATTCTGTTTCAGGTCCAGTATTGAGGATGAATCATGTTGTAATTCTGTTTCAGGTCGGTATTGAGGATGAATCATGATGTTATTCTGTTTCAGGTCCGTATTGAGTATCATGTTGTAATTCTGTTTCAGATTGAGGATGAATCATGATGTAATTCTGTTTCAGGTCCGGTATTGAGGATGAATTGATGTTATTCTGTTTCAGGTCGGTATTGAGGATGAATTATGTTGTAATTCTGTTTCAGGTCGGTATTGAGGATGAATCATGATGTTATTCTGTTTCAGGTCGGTATTGAGGATGAATTATGTTGTAATTCTGTTTCAGGTCCGGTATTGAGGATGAATCATGATGTTATTCTGTTTCAGGTCGGTATTGAGGATGAATCATGTTGTAATTCTGTTTCAGGTCCGGTATTGAGGATGAATCATGTTGTAATTCTGTTTCAGGTCCGGTATTGAGGATGAATCATGTTGTAATTCTGTTTCAGGTCCGGTATTGAGGATGAATCATGTTGTAATTCTGTTTCAGGTCGGTATTGAGGATGAATCATGTTGTAATTCTGTTTCAGGTCGGTATTGAGGATGAATTATGTTGTAATTCTGTTTCAGGTCCGGTATTGAGGATGAATTATGTTGTAATTCTGTTTCAGGTCCGGTATTGAGGATGAATCATGTTGTAATTCTGTTTCAGGTCCGGTATTGAGGATGAATTATGTTGTAATTCTGTTTCAGGTCCGGTTTTGAGGATGAATTATGTTGTAATTCTGTTTCAGGTCCGGTATTGAGGATGAATCATGTTGTAATTCTGTTTCAGGTCGGTATTGGGCATGAATCATGTTGTAATTCTGTTTCAGGTCCGGTATGGAGGATGAATCATGTTGTAATTCTGTTTCAGGTCCGGTATTGAGGATGAATCATGTTGTAATTCTGTTTCAGGTCCGGTTTTGAGGATGAATCATGTTGTAATTCTGTTTCAGGTCCGGTATTGAGGATGAATCATGTTGTAATTCTGTTTCAGGTCCGGTATTGAGGATGAATCATGTTGTAATTCTGTTTCAGGTCGGTATTGAGGATGAATCATGTTGTTATTCTGTTTCAGGTCGGTATTGAGGATGAATCATGATGTAATTCTGTTTCAGGTCCGGTATTGAGGATGAATCATGTTGTAATTCTGTTTCAGGTCGTTATTAAGGATGAATCATGTTGTAATTCTGTTTCAGGTCGGTATTGAGGATGAATCAATTTGTAATTCTGTTTCACGTCGGTATTTAGGATGAATTATGTTGTAATTCTGTTTTAGGTCCGGTATTGAGGATGAATCATGTTGTAATTCTGTTTCAGGTCCCGTATTGATGATTACAAATGGTCAAGATGTTGATAAACATAAACATTTTATTTTACAAATAATACAAAAATGCCAACAGGTCGAAACGAATTTATGTACAACGTAGCCACAGCATAATTCCCTATGTACAATGCATACTCTGAAAATCCTCTGTCACCATTTTTCTTAATGTAGCAGACCCCTGAATAGCCTCTAGTTCCTTCGACAATCACAACACGTCTGAAACCTAGGATAGCTTCTAATTCAGTTGACAATACAACAGTTATAGGAACCCTAAGGTACCTTCTAGTTACTTAGTAAATCGCAACAGTTCCGGAAACTCCAGGACACCCTCCATAGCTCTTTCATCCATCGAGAGGCTCGGAAACTCCGAATGCTTTTTTTTATATTATTAACAAACATTCCGGAAACTTCAGAATACTCTCTCACTGAAGGAATTGTTCGGAAATTTGCCGATACCCCCTCGTTGCTCCACAACCTACTCAACTGACACCAATACTGATATGGGCTCCAGTATACTCCGCCGAGATCTTCAAGTGGAAATGCTTGTGTTAATTTTCTCATGATATTATATACAATTTTGTTAAAAGGTATTGTCAATAATTACCATGTTTTGAAAATAATTACGTATTAACAAGACTGCTCTCTCTGATATCAACGTGACGTTTCAAGAACCAGGATAATGGTTGACACAAAAAAGCAGTTCAAAGAAAAAAAATTAATTACCATTGAAGCCCAATATGGTAATGTCATTTGACACTTTATTTGTAAACACGGAGTATTCTTCGGTTTCAAATTTAAATTAATATTACACAGTAATCAAATTTAGAACCGTCCCTTTATGTCCTCGAGTATATGAAATGCATCCCAATAACAATTTGCAGAGCTACACTTAGGTTCTAGGAATTACGAGAACAGAGCACGGAATATAAAAACCACACAACAATATATATGTGTTCGTGTAGTTGAGAATGTGTGGGCGATCGAGCTGCTTCTAACAAATGGTAAGTATAGAGATCCAGACTTTTTGATAGTTCACCTCTCCGGGGACGCGCACTGAAGCCACACTGGCTTTTTACTTTGAATAAAACATTTTCTAGAAAGCCAAGACAATTGAGAATGTTACATTAGAGACATTTCGAAGTGATGATGTTAAAGAGTATCTATACAAAAGTACACAGAACGTATCACTGCAATTTTGCCCTAAAACACATTATCACAATTCGTTTTTGAAGGAACATAGAAACTATAAAAACAAATAATCGTTGAAACATGTCCCGTCAACACACCGCAGTCGTAAATGATATACATTTAATGTCTTAAATTAAGATTGGTACCAAATGTGATGCATATCGAACAGTATTTAAATTTCACCACGTATGTTGTCTTTGTAGGATAGTCCTTATGTCCAATAAGAAAAAGATCATCATTGCGTTTTTCGTGTCAAACAACTTGAATCGATTTTAATAAATCGGACAATATGTAAATTTCAACCAATCAGAAACTCCCCTCGGCGGCCATTTTGTGATATCAGAAACATGAATTCCATCATTGTGTTCCTAATGTCACAAAATACCTATATACCAATTTTCTTGAAAATGTGACATCTGAATTTTAACCTGTCAAGACAGCGGTCATCGTGTCCAGTTATAAAATTAATTTTGTCACCATTGTGTTGCTATTATAAAACCACGCCTACATTACAATTATCGTGAAAACCGGATGATCTCTAAATCAAAGGCCGCGGTTGATCGGTCTGATGACACCGCCCCACATACACGAACACTCGTGTAAATTTCATTAAATTCCAGAGAAAAAAATTTCCCCTCATCCTACCCTACTTCGTGTGGGGGACATAATTACATATTTCACAGAAACTCGATAAATTGTAATTATATAAGAATTCTTTACATTGTATCTACAGAAATTGTTATCTTAAGTTGTTTCATTAAACAGAGTAAGCTCATTATAGAGTGTTTATGTGTAACGACATGAGATTCTGCTAGGGAATATCGTGATTAAAGGTCACAAAGGCCCTCTTTAAAAGTAATTATACAATGAGATTTGATGTCTCGGAAAGAGCGAAATCTTTTCCTGCATAAACGAATGAAACTACATCAAAGACAAATCCAAGAAACATTACGTCCTTAAGCAGAGAACCGGGTATTAACACAACCACAAGGCACACTGATAAGTATAGTGAAAAATGACGACGACCGTATCGAAAGGAAATTAAAAATATTCTCCAGTGAAATCATGATAACGACCATAAATCTCTCCCTTACTTTCCATCCACCTGCATCCCTTGAAACCTTGTATTGCAAGGTAGCGCGTCAGCATTCGTCACAGTTTAGAGCAAACCCATTAATAAATATTTGATTGTGAAATGTATCTGGAGGAAGTAGAAGATTACTCTTAAGAAAAAGAAAGTTCGCTATTTGAAAGCTTAAGTTACGTTGATCTACCGCTCAGAAGTATGCGGTGGCGCCGTTGGTCACGTGGTAAATAAGTATTAAGATAAGAGTCTTCAGTGTCATTGATTTCAAATTCATCCAGATTTGTACAATCGACGTAGTCAATAGATTTCTTCTTATTGTCTTAAGGTAAGGGTCTCCTCTAATCAGCTTTCAAAAACAGATACTTGACAACATTACAATAGCAACACGCAGTGTAAGCCTTATTTCCTTTTATCGATCGGAGGTTTCACTACAACTAACATAGTCTGCCAAAATCCATTTATTTTAGAAAATAATAAAATCATCTCTTTTTTAAGGAAAAGACTAATAGAATGGTGTATTGGTTAACCTGTGTTTACAAAATGTTGTTTACAGTAAAGCATTTCTTCTTCACAAAAAACTATCAAATATTCTCAAATATTAGATGTCGTGGATATCTTTTACCATTAAATTGTCCTTTTATGTTAAAACGGCGATTTTTCGTAATAATGACAGTATTTAAATATAAAGATTATTTTATGTTAGTTGGAAATATATTAACGATAACCACTACACAACATTGTCACAAACTGCTGGAGAGGTAAGTGAACGGTGTTAATATGTACACGATCTATAGCCAATAAACACAATAAACGGTGGAAGGTGATAACATAAAACGCAGATCAACCATCTGCAAACACATATGAAATCTTTCTAAAGGCTTGTATCTGTCATGTCTTATCTCTCTATTCAGAATCCCTGCTGGCCTTCTACTTTGGACCTCCGTCATTGGCCAGGGCCATCAGCTCTCCCTGAAACAAAATACAACAGCTTTAGGTCTGGGGAAATTTAACACTGTAGTTTTTTCGTAGCGTATTTCTTTCGATATGGATACGGATCGTGTTATATATAGATATATTGCAAGGATTGTTTTACCTGTTGTTCAATTTTACGGATTAATGATTACCTTATGTATTTTCACAAAATTTTATTTTTTTTTTAAAATTCGTTGAAATTCGTTTTCTATTTCATTTTCACTGAATTTCATTTTTTTTATAATTATTTTTTACGGGTATCATCTTCTATTTTATTTTTACGGAATTCCGTTTTCTATTTAATCTATAAGAATTTCATTTTCTATATTTTCACAAAATATCATTTCCTTTTTTTTACTTCTTAGGTAATGTTTACCTATATTTTCAAGATTTTTACTTTTCCTGAGTTCATGACATCATCGAAAATTTAAAGAGGATCATTGGATGAAAATTATGATATTTACAGTATTTAAAGATATTTCGTTACATAGAGTTTACTTTCTTATTCAGGTTTAAAGACAAGGCTTCTCAATGAGACAGCTCCCGTAAATACTCTATTGTTATATAGATAACTTCGATTTGATGTTGGATTTTACACGGTTTGTCCGTAACCATTCATGTTACTGACATTGCTTTTATACTGTAAATAACATAGCATTGTTTGTTCGAGAACAACCACGATACAAACCGACATGTCTAAGGAATCCTAATTCAAGATCTAATGCGATTTGAAAAAAGGGCAAGATGAGAACAAATGTAAGATTTACATGGAAACACCTACAAAGTGCAAAGAAAATAAGACCATCTGTTCCGAAATAGTAAGCGTCTTGTGATTCATCGACGACTCCTACCATGCACATCTTGTTCAATCCAATATAACAACAATTTCATTCATTTTATTACCATTAAGAAACAAACTATTTATACTAATCACTCTTGTTGGCCCGGATGTAAGCGCGCGAAGGGTCTTATTGTGGGAGGAAACCGGCGTACCGGAACAAAATCAACGTAGTCGGGCAGGCGACCTCCTACCTTTTTATGTCCAATCTGGGATTCGAACCTCGGATGGCTAGGTGAAAGGCGAGTGTGTTACCACTGCGCAATCCGACCATCCACCCAAGTAAGAAATGCCTCGTTCCCAACAGAGAACTAAATAAACAATAACGGAACCTCCAGGCAAACTAACGAGTAACAAACACGTCCGATGTCACATCACACAAAGGAAATTCCCAATGAGGTCATTATCATGACTGTAAAACTACCAATAATCTTCAACAGCCTGCATATTTAGTGTCATATGTTAATCAGTTGCCGACATCTACCATAATTAATTCCCTGACGGACCATTAGTGTTAATGCAGATCATACATGTTGTTGGTAATTGTGTATGCACGTGTACGTAATGAATTAGGTCGTTTTATCGTTTCTACAATTTTCTGAGTTCTTTTTTAAAATCTTCCTTACGGTAGAATGATTACTAATCTAATAAGTTATTTACCTCCTCGGCGTCTGACTGCGCATTGTTGTTGTCGGCTGAAAGGTTCATTTTCTTCGCCCTTTCTTCCTGCTTCTTTCTTTCCTTATTTTCTAGCGACTGCAACTGTTCCATATCTTTGATTGGGGCATTCTCCTCCTCCCCTTCACCCATCTCCCCTCCATTTTCTACTACGGACTCATTCTCGGCTTCCATCCGTGCAAGGGCCTCGATTTCGGCCTGGTGTTCCGGTGTCAATTCCTGGTCTTTGTTTCTGGCCAAATCCCCGGGGAGAAACAGAGGCAGTGAGTTTATGAAGGGGCTCTCCAAGATAAGTCGGTCGTTGCCTGCGTTAGGTGTCAGCTGACGGAGAAAAAGATTAAAATAATTAGTACTTATAATGCAAACGAAAATACGTTCTTGCCAAATACCTTTCGACTTGCAACAATAAGTGAAACGTACTTTTATTCAACAATGACAACTGTTAAATTAAACTGATTTCGATTTATTCTTTTCACAGTGATCTATTCCATATTAATATCCACTTATTAATTTTATAAAAGATTACAGAAAGACATAGCTTATACAACTTACCTGTTGCGGGTTTCCTTCTGGCTGTGTCCATGCCGTATATGGTCTCTCGTTGTTCTTTTGTGTCCTTGACCCATGAAAACGTTTGCTCCCCTCATTTACTTTACTTCCTCCTTCCAGCGGAAGTGCGAGGAGATCAATGGTCTCCTCTGGTATTTCCTTCACTCGTTTCTGTGGAATGTAATTCGAGTACTCCTCAGAAGATTCATCAGACTCCTGGGAAGACGTTTCCTCTGATGACGAACTGGATGAAGATGAAGACGAGGAGGGCTTGCTGATGGACATTTGGGAGGACTCGTCCGATTCCTCTGTCTCTGACTCATTCTCAGAAGACTCAGAGGAGGACTTGCCACCGTATTTCTTCTTCCAGTAAGACCCTGGAATATAACAGTCAAGTTTAAAACAATACGATCTACGTGAATGAAAGGCTACTTTAAGGGCAGTGTTGGTTGCAGCTAACATATGTATAGTATCATTCTTAGCGGGCATATAAGATCAAAAAATCCAACACACAACGTTTCTCGACAAAGTTGTGAGGGGATTCAAGATGGTAAGATTGGACAAGCTAACAATGCAATCAGTAGAGAAACACACCTGGATATTTGCTCCCGCGCTTGTGATCTTGGTACCGACCGCCTGCTTTCTTCTCCACGCGTTGGGGCATCTGTAAAATATAACACATCACGTTAGATATAATATCACCATGTCATTTACAAAATTACAAGAGCTTATCTTTAGAATTTCTTTAAATGACCAATGGCAAGTTTCCAAACCAATATTGTACTAAATGAGATTTAACTAACAATAGATTTCTGACTGGCGCAGACAATGAAAAACGCTCGAGGGTGTATTACATTACCGACTTTGATGTATCTAGTTCTAAATGATGACATTTCTATATTAGTTGGTACTGATCAATCTTATCTTTAACAAGGATTAAGTCGATCCTCTACTTTTTCTGTTAAATTTCAATATTATCGAAGATAGAGCATGGCATGCTTGTACAAAGAAATGGCCTTTAAAACATTTCCCAATGATCAAGATTCCCTTTTAATTCAGTCATACAAATATGGAATTTCCACATTTGTAAAGCTGAATAAAACGTATTTAAATGCGTTTAAAACATATTTAAGATTTTTTATTTCATAACTCAGACAGGTGACATTTAAAGTTAAAAAAGTATAGGACATCGACATCGTCCATATAAGTTGGAAGGCACATTTGACCTTAGTTGATGTTGAGACACAGTATTGATTTTACATCTTTGACCTTACTGTACAGCCCTCGCTATCATGTACTTTATTGTCAACGTCGTTACATAAACACACTCTTCTTTTAAACAAATACAGCTTCCAACTGACAACCTTTTGCACACATCGAACAAATTGATCGATATACGACACACCGTCTTCCAACAGACACCAGATAGTCTGCCAAAGCAAAATAAGCATACCACCTAAGGGTTAAAATTACAGTATTACTCCGAAAGGCATTGGTCACAGAGAAACGTCTATGAAACATGGATATTAAATAACAGATGTAAATTAGAGAAAAAAAACTGTGACGAAGGATCTCTGAGCAGTCGCACTGTTATCTATGAAAAGCTTGTCAGTATGGAAATGTCATGCCCTTCAAAATGTTTCCAGTGGAAATGTTTCTTGATTAAGGCAACAACACCGGAAATCCATCAAGGTACGCCAAGAGACGCCCATGTCCGGTAGTGCAGGTGAAAGCCAGCGATAATGTTATTGCGATTCCGAAATTAACTTTTAGTGCTTTCAGCGGAAAACGACAACTTCAACTAATGTTTACAGTGAAACATATACTCCAAACTTAGGTTATAAGGCAAATTACTAATGCTCTTTTCGACTTTCCAATCGATACTTCAGAAATTTCAGCTCTGGAAAAAAAGGATGGAAATGGTAGAAACATTAACTAAAGATGGGCCAAACAGCGATATTCACCTAACTGTAATCCTATTTCATAGAGGTAATGTCATGGTTGCAAGGCTAATAATATTTACTTTATCAACAGTATTATCACGTTCAACGAATTTTAAAATTATGATAGTTTTGCTGCCAATATTCCCTACTACAACAACACATGGATGTTAATGGGGCAAATTCTCTTTAACATACTAGTAGTATATCAATATTTGTCCACAGTGTTTTGGTGTTTAATTAGTGTTTCATGCTAATTGACGTAAGGTTATCAGTGATAACATGAAACCTATCTACAGTGACACATTACAATACAGCACACTGTCATGTTCCAGATTTATACCGAACACTCGTAACTAGCATTTTTTTCAATCGAATATTCTGTGTCTATTAATGGTAACTTCATTTTTGCCATTTTGTATTTAGTCTTTCTTTCAAACAGCCGAATAAGCCATACACTTTGATAAATATATCTGTGCTGAAATAAGTGATATATACGTTATAATATTAGAAAGACGAATTAACTGACTAACAAGGGCATTGCCCGATAAAACATGACTATAATATATCGAAAAATTATCTTCTTCACGTTGGAATTTTCCATAAATAGTAGGTGATCGACTTAATCCTTGTTAACGATACGATTGATCAGTACCACCTAATATAGAAATGTCAGCATTTAGAACTACATACATCAAAGTCGGTGATGTAATATACCCTCGAGTGTTTTTCATTGGCTACATCAGTCAGAAATCTATTGTGATATAATAATACGGACGATGACGTTACGTTATGAATTGGAAAATGCACATCAAAATGGTTGCCTTAAATTAATTTTGTTCTCTATTTTTTTTTACTTAAAACTCTGTCAAATTGTAACGTTTCTGAGTTATGAGGCAAAAATAAATATGTTTTCACTTCGTATAAAATTTTGTTTTAATTTCTAATTGTCACAGCTTACCAAAACAAGTGAAGTGACAACTCATTTCAAATTATATATATATAAGATTCACACAGATGACCCGTGTCAAGCCCAAATTTCTTGATTTTAATCAAATATCTAAAAATAATAACTGGACACGTTTGACCCTGGATTCAGCTTTACAAATGTGGAAAGTTAACGTCACAAATTCATACGTTACAACGTTTAATTACCATGTTTATATGACTGAATTAAAAGAGAATCTTGATGATTGAAAAAAATTGTTTTACAGGCCGTTTCTTTTGTATGAATATGCCGTGCTCTTATTTCAATATCACACTGCTGCACGTATGCATTGAATTGCGTTTTAAGAAGTAACGTGGAATGTTCGTTTAAGATAACCAAATCAATGTTAAATTTGATTTATTACAGGAAAAGTAGATTGTTTTCTTGTGTAATGGCCATTTTGGGTGTCGGCCAGTCAATGTGAGAAGGTCACGCATTACATAACTGGAAACAGACAACGGCGCTTCCGTAGGAAAATCCAGCATACCGTGAAAGTTCTCTCATACAATACCATTGTCGTACCATAACAGGAAACGTATTACACGAGTAAGTTGTTAATGGCGTGCAAGGTGTCGTTTAATACTCATTTAAATATACGCTGACACAATATCCAAAGCAACAACAGACAAAAGGCCTGTATCGTTCACCTGGATCTTAACGTTCAGCAATATATGCTTATGGGATGGGTATGCAATATTCCAAATTAAAGCTCACTCACTTAATCTCTTTGATGGGGTAAGACCAATAGGTAAATTCTTGTATCGTTACGGTCTTTGTCTTTTAATGCCCATTAAGAGTTTATATGGTTATTGGGTTGGTATCAACTATGTCAAAATATAACCCAAAAATAATTTCTCTTGAGGTGTGCCACACCCAAGGACCAATTCTTAAATAACAAATGTGTTTATCTCTTAATGCCCCAGCAATTCTATTAATATATTGTTATAGGTGGGTGTTTCAACTGTGAATGGATTTATCTCTTGATGTCCAGCATCGTTATATGTGGTTTAAGGATGGGGATCTCCACTGTTTCAAAGATATCACAAGGAAGCGAAGTTCTGAGGTAGGGCAAAACTCCTAAGCCAATTCTTATTTTGTTTATCCTTTTATGCCAAGCAATGCTAGACATGGTTACTGAATGGGGATCTAAACTGTTTCAAAGATTTAAAACTTTTCCTCTATTGAGCCCTCTCATCCTGCCCTATGTTGCAAAAACCCACCATTTATACGAAATCGATTCTTATTCACCAAACCATGCTACAGACCAAATCTGGGCAAAATCTTGTCGTTTCTGAAAAAGAAGTAAGATTTTAAAGAATTTGCAATACTTCCCAATATTGTGTCCCCCACCTCCATGGGGCCTAGACCCGCCGTTTATCTAAAATCAATTTCCCATCACCCAAACATACTTCACACCACATTTCGAAAAAATCCAATTACTCCTACAAGAGGAGTAGGATTTTTGATAATTTGCCCTATTTGTCCATTTGTTAGGATTTCAAAGTTCAAAGTATTTGCTCTGTTTGCCTATTGAACCCCGCTCCTTTTTTCCCAATGGGGTCGAGATCCATCATTCATACAAAATTGATTTCCCTCTAACCAAAGATGCTTCTGACAAAAGGAGGAGTTAGATTATAAGTCAGCATTACCGCAAAGAAAGAGCAATAGATGGCATAGATATAACACGATACAACAATAAGCAAAATACCTGGGCATCATGAAGGGACCTTTTAGGACTAGTGTGAAATTATAATACTTATGCCAACACATTAGTACTTTTCGATGTCAAATGTTCACCAGTAAAATGCGATATACACGGTTATAGCCAAAGCATTCCATGTCATGCATGTGCGAATCACGTGACAAACATAATTCCATTGATACACTGTGAACTTTTCTGCAAATAATAGTAATGCATTTTGCATGTTTGTAATTGCGTCAGTGTGTTTTGCTGTCTTTTTACTGTCTCGGGAATGGACTCCAAAAACAATAAATTGCCCTGCTGTGTTGGTCATTATTTCACCATAATACACATTTTTTGTTTTGTTTTTATTTTTGTGGAAGTGAGGGGGGAGTCAATCCATTTTAAAAGCACACAATTAAGTGGCGGCTGTACTGCTCTATCCTTTTATCACGTAAGCGTAAGCGTTACCGCTGGGAATCGTTCGTTAGTGGGTGAGGGGGAAGGTTTTGGTCTCGTGAGGCCAGGGGATCGTTTTTTACGCGGAGAGGATATCTTTATAGAGAATGCTGCAAAGTGTATTTGTAAATTTTGATATTTTTGTTTACTTTGCTTTGTAATATATCAAAAACATGTATCCATTCCCGCGATTTTTGTTGAAGTTGAAGTCTGAAGTCCGGAAAAATTTAGGCACTAAGTGAATATTGAAGTATTTAGTGATACATTTAAAAAATTCTATTCTATATGGGTGGATATTAATCTCTCTTATAAAAATGAATGTGAAGGGTGTGTTTGTAACATACTTACTCTAACTGTCCAGTCTGCTGATTTGAATATTAATCATGCTAGCTGGAGACTAGAGTTTAATCCTGCCTAGCACTCGACAGTTTTTTTTTAAATTCTAATTTAATGGAGGGTTTTCTGATGAACTTGCCTAATTGCCCTAGATGTCGGCATGTTTAGATAGTTTTCAAAACTGTATTGACAGTGGAATGCAGGCTTGTTGCTGTCGTGTCATATAGAATGAAAGGCGAATACAGATCACTTGTAAGTAA